TGATCCAGTTTTTAATAAAAAATTATATCATAGTTGAATTTTATCTTTTTGGCAACATGCAGCCAGGGTAAATATAACTTTGATGTCTCTATGTAACAGGAAAGGTAATGGGCAAGAGTTCCATATAACCCCATATATTAATTATGCCTGATCAAAATTCATCTAATGAGGGAATTTTGTTTATCAGAGAATTCTCTGTAACTTCTCCCAATATTATCCTTACATTAGTAGAATTGGTGCAATGGTTATGGAGATACAGATACTCTGATGGGTCAAGCATTGCATTATACCTCACTATAACAAACAGCTAGTCAGAATACTCAAACTTATCTGGTAAAGGTTGTTATCTTGATCAAACACCAAATTCTTGTAACTAATTTACAAGGAAATGTCTATCAGCTAGAAGAGAGAATTAACAATCAGATCGTGGGAGTTAGGGTTAACATCCTGGTGATGGCCTGATAGAGTAGAGAAGAATGTTTCCAAAACTTAAATCGTCTTGGAAATACTAAGATTACAAGCTTGGAGTTAAAAGTTTTTCCTTGACCAAACCAAGTGACTTTCAATTTTTACAGGATTTTCAATATCTCAACACTCTAATCCTGGACAATAATAACCTTACAAATCATGTGAAGTTTCCATACATGATGTCACTTCACACACTGTGGGTAAACCAGAATAGAATTACAAATCTGAGTTCTTTTATTGAGACTGTAGCAAAATGCTTCCCAAATTTAAAGTACTTCAGCATGATGAACAATGAAGCTGCTCCGAGCTATTTTAATGGAGGAACCTACCAGCAGTACAAGGATTACAGGTACGGGGGATAAATAGTCTGATCTGGATACGCTAAGCGACAGGTTCTGTTATGTGACAAGCCTTAATCCTACATATTGTCTTAAATCTAGGAGTAGTGGTACTCCTCACTTATGGTTACACACCCCTAACCTTATAGGAGTTTGTCAACTTTCATGAAAGTTTGGTGGTATACCAAAACAACTGACTTTCAATTTTTCTTTTTATCCATTTTTTATTTATTTTTATTTTTAATTTTTATTTTTACTCCCATTCCTGGTGGAAGACACTAACTAAAAGTAATTTTGGTTTTATCAACTGAGTTGGTATTGTAAATTGGCCACTGTAAACAGTTATAAAGCTGCCATTTTGAGTGTTAGCCCCTATCCATTTGCTCTGATGAAGGGAAAACATTCAAAATGTAAGCTAATTGAAACTCTTTGTGGTGGCCAATTTACCTTAAAGTTATCAACTCAGTTGATAAAACCAAAATTACCTTAGTTGCTAGTCTTTCACCTACACAGCATCTCAGTTTCTTTAGAAAGTCACCCCCTTCATTCACTGTGAGAGTTTATTTTCTTAATATAATAAGACCAGTACAGAGTAACATAACCAGTGATTAAACGGATGTCTTGATCCCGTGATTCCAGCTTGGGCTTTCAGACAAGTATCAAAGAGGCTGTTATCAAAGAGGCAGGATTGAAAAAGTTCAATTTTTTGTAATCATGATTATGCTTGCAGATGTTATGTTATAAGCCATCTTCCAAGTTTACTCGTGCTCGATGACCATGCTATTGATGCTGATGAAAGAGAAGAGGCACGTAAAATATATGGCAATAGAAGAGTTTCTGTTAGCTCAAACCGAGTCAGTAAAAAACACAAAGAAAGGGTAAGTACATGTACTTTTGCAATACCTTGTTTGCTTAGAAATAGAAGCAGGGGTTTTCTTAAAGTATTAACCCTTTTACTGTCATTAGATCAAAATCTGAATTCTCCACCCTGGCCATTATACATATAAAATATTTATTCCTTTGCAAATTTGGTTTTCAATCAAACAATATCCCTTAGTTGGTAGTTTTTTGCTTCTTGTCTCTGTACAAAAATGTGTTGATATTGTAAAAACAAAATTCTGGTTTGGTAACTCTTGAAAGCAAGAGGGTCAAAGTAGGTGGAATGCCGACAAATAAATGGTTTTGTCAAGTTTTACTTTCTATTTTTGTCACTGGTTCATAGTTACAAAGTTATAATGTGTAAATCTTTAACCCCCAGAAATGATTAATTTGTAACTTCTCTTTGCAATTCGAATATGTTTTCTTGCAAACAGGTGAGGAGAATAGACAAGCTGATCCCTCTAATTCACACAAAACTGTAAATGGCAGTCAGTTGGGAGAAAGACTAATTGGATCTTGCAATTAAAAGGGTGAAGGATTCATGAAACAATAATTTCTGAAATATCAATGTGACCTTATTATTTTGTTCTCTTTTTCAGAAAAAGAAAGATGTGGAATAACAGGTGCATTTATTGCTAAATTTTTACTTTGCAGTACAGATCAGAATTTACCTGCTATCTTATGTATAATATACTACTGGAGTGTATGGCTTATGAGATGCGGGTGAACAAATTTCTGCACCAAAATAATGGAAAGGATCTGGAATGTCATAGATAATTATTTTTTGACCACAAAAAAAAAAAAAAAAAAAAAATCGTCAACTGTGTGAGAGAAATTTTTTTTAATTTTCATACAAACTATTTGATGAGGAAATCTTAGACTATATTTTGCAGATAAATATATTTTATAGTAGGTGAGGATGGAAAAGATATGAAGTGGAAAATGTTAGAGTTAATAGCCATATAAATAAAGTTTGCTGCTTATTGAAAGTTGTCTGTGGTCCTCAGGGAAGGATGGTTTTTTTTGGTTTTTCAGTAGCGCAGAGTATAATAAGGATGCTACATGCATTACAATATATTATGGTGTGGGCCATTTTTAGTTGAGGGCTTCAGTATTCCAAGCAACACATAGCAACCAAAAAAACACATAACGTAATTCACAGGAGCATATTTTTATTTTGGGGAAGGAAAGGGGCTATAAAATCCGTTTTTAGGGATTAACCATCTTAATAGGTTTTTTTTATTTCTCAAGCCCAGAAGTAGGGTGAAAAATGCTCCCTGAAAACTCCTGGAATGATAGGGTGTTTTGTTGCTATTTTTTTTTTACTTGCTCCCTCGTCTCTTGGATATATTTTTAAGTGTTTCCTGTTTTCTCCTATATTTCAATGGTGTTCTTGATGCAAAAAACTGTGAACTGTACTGAATTAATCCTTGTAAAAAAAAAAATAAAAAAATAAAGAAATCTTATGCAAAAAATGTAACCTTTACTCATAAGAGACCAGACTGGACCACAGGCAACCCATGCATACTGTGTTGATTTTGGGGTCTATAGGTCATTAACAGGAGTACGTAAAATATTTTGAAACATTGAATTTAAGCTTGTGCCGTGTAAAATAGTAAAAAATGAAAGGATAATAAAAGCAATAAATATAATGTGTTGAGTCTCCTTACCTTTATTCTGTAGCCACCTTGTTGCATCTGGTCATTCTAACAGCCAGTACATATATTTCTTCCTTTTTTTCCTTTTCTCATATTTCACAAGCTTTTCTTAGGTATTCCTAATGACCTTTAGACCCCAAAATCACACACACCATGCTTGGGCTGCCTGTGGTGAGACCCATTTGGATAATTTCCATCAGAAACTCGTGTCCAGTTGCTGTCATTGCATGTTAAACGTTTTGTAACGTAAATACACTTCTTATCAGCTCACAACTTGGAATTACTGTGTGGAGAATAATTTGCTTTTAATAAGTAGTATGAAGAGGAGAGACCTCACAAAAAGTTACCTATTTAATCCTCTTTGGGGAGAGAATTCATATTGCTGGTCACTCATTCCTATTTTGTGTTTGATTGGTGTTCTTGCTATTTCGACTCTCTACCCTACCCAGGCTGAATTTTCAAAGAGTGCTCTACCAGAGTAGGTATCTGGGGTTTGAATTCACAGACAAGATTCAAAGTCCTCAATTGATTAACAGGCACCTGGAACTTATTTCATGGAGACTAACAAATGATGGAAATGAAGCTACAATTAAAGCACATCAATTCTCATATAGAAGTTTCTTTATTCTGATTAATTATTAATATATAATTTAGGAGATATACCAGTATAGAATGACCGGCATATTACATTTTATTACTCTGAAGACCCTGATTTTCCTAGAATTTATTAAAGGCAACTTTGCTTCAGTTTTGCCCAACCTTAGTCACTGTGGGTCAAAGAAACTAAGCTCTATTTTAGATCACTTTAATTGCCTTGGAGAGTTGTCATTACTGGGAAAATTAAGCCTGCAAAGAGGTTATCCGATATAAAAGTTCAAAACTTGTGTAATCCTATCACCTTGGTAAAGTAGCTTTAAGGGTTTGTAAGCCGTCGAAAAGGCGAGGTAAAAGTAATCATCAAAACCAAAACTTTAAAAAAAAAAAATGATGATGACAGTTGAGGATAGGAAATACATAAATTTCATGCAAATGGATACTGTATTTATCAAGAAAATCAAATCGTAAAATAGGCTCAGGTGGTTCAGTTACACACACGCGAGAAACGGACTTGAATACTAGATAACGCTAAGTTTGAAATATCCGGATTCCTATTGATTTTGATCTTTTCTTTACTACAGACTTGTCTTCATGTTAATCCGTGAAGCTCCCTTAATGGAGGTCAAAGGCAAGTTCCTTTTTTCGTAGGTGATTACAGGTTGTATTTCTCTATACGGAATACTTGTATTCTGTCCCATCAGCCATAAGCAGAATGACATTTTTATGATTAATCCAAACCAGTCGTATGAGTTTCAGCAGAGCAGGAGACATTTTTGGAGAAGGAGAGACTGTTGTGTAGGAACGGACACATCGGAGAGACGATCCCAACATACCGAACAATGAAGAGCCAGTCTACAGAGAAAAAGACAGCGGACATGTTTGGCGATACGTCGTAGCATAAATGGTGAAAAAATATTACTTGTATTCTACTAAGGACGCCATGGAGTTGTCAAAAGTATCATTGGAACGGACAGACAACGCAAGTTTGCAAAACTTTACGACGCCTAAGAAATTTGGATATTATCACATCATAGTTAGTAGAGGGATCACATGCAGGGGGGATTAACCTTCCGAGTCAACCGTTCCTCAGTAGGCCACGCAGAGCTCCCTAAATTTTGATAGGTGGAGCGGAAGAGAACCAAAGTACGGAGGGGTAAAGGACTTAACGAGGTCTATACAAGAAAAAATTTAAATCGGTTAAAAGATAGTCGAAAAAAACAAACAGACAAAAACGATCATCAACGGTTAACCTGACTGTTAGAATTTAGATTGAGGTCTCATTTGTTCCACAAAGAACGAACTTTTATTAACGGGATCTGCGAAATCTTTTTTTCTTGCTCGCTCGCTCTCTTTCTTTCGTTGTTTATTACGTCATTACCTGCCAGAAACAAATTTTTGAGTCTCCAAAACTGTACGAAGCAAGCACGCGATCGTCAGGCGAGAAAGACATGGCTGTTACCTGAGAGGAATGAGCTGAAACCATCTGTAAACAAGAATTATAAAGTTACCGATTCTGAAAAGATTCCATGACCTCTATCACGCGCTATCAGAGGAAATAAGAACTTTGAAAAAAAAGGTAAGAAGTACGTGACCTTTGCTTGGGGTATAGACAAAACCAATCATTGTTGGCTATTTACGGTTGCTTTCCCAATGATCAAAGTTAGTACCGGGACACGGAAAAATAGCTTAATAAATTTGGGGAGAAAACCGAACCTGAATCGCTGCTGAAACTTTTCATTGCAGAAACGCTTCTAGTCCTAAATTATGAATCTAGCTGTTACTTTCTCCAACTGTATCAAGGGTGTTCGCTACTTGACGCTGGAATTTAGCATTTAGCAAAACTACCTAAAAGAAAGTGAAAGACGACTAAAAGTTTTCATTCAAAGTCGTGGTCCTCAAGTGAAACCTTGAAAGAATAAAACAATACACACACACACACACACACAAAAAAAAACAAACAAAAAAAAAAACAAAACTCGTAATGGAATTACCTGACAGCGAGACGACCGCAGGTCATACAAAGCTAACTGACCATTCTTCGCTCCAACTGCAAGGCGGCGGGACTGGGGCGAGTAACTCACCATGTTGAACCTTTTAGAATGGAATAGGACTCTTTCATAAATGGCGGGCTTCATTGCTATCGTTTATAATTAAGTAAATCAGCCTTTCTAGCTTCGACAGCATGTTAAAAAAAAAAAAAATCTAATTTTAACTTGTAAAAACAAGATTAGTAATCATGCCCACCATTCTGAGCGGAGTTGGACAAAAATGGAAACGTTCTGATTCTTGCGAGTCCTTCCTAAGATAATTGATTAAACATACCGACAAAGTCCAGGGAATAACTCGGTCATTCCTTTCTCTTTGAGTTGTCTCTGATCCAAACAGTAAACCACAATATCGACGACCTGGAGACAAAGGGAAGACAGTTACTGCAATGTAACAACTGCTGGTAAATCTAGACTCAAACTTAATGCAAAGGTCTGAAAACCAAAGAGAAACACGCGGGAAACGAGCAGAAAAAGGATTGACTTGCACCCTTCTCAGCTGAAGTAGGAAAATAAAAGAGTCAGTTTCTCTTGCAACGTGGGCACAGCTACTAATTTCGCTAACAAGTGTGGTGTTATTCTGCCTAAATGGAAAATTTCGCAGCTGACGCAATGGGAAGTCAGCGTAGCAAGTTTTGCCAGTAAGCGCGCAAGTTCTCTACATATTTATTGTGCAAGAACTGGCCCCGAACCAACGAAAAAAACCCTATATAACACTTTCATCCCAGTTTTCCAAAACTTCTCATAGAACCAGAAAGCCTTGTGAAAGGTCCGCTAAAAAAAAAAAAAACAAAAAACAAAACGGTCGGTGATAAGATGTCTTGGAATGAGTAAGACATGACCTACGCTATTGGTGGATATGGTAACTTGAAAAACAAGAATAATTGATTTGAATGAAAAGCGTCCGTTGATACCGAAGGGATTCAGAGTGCCCATTTGAAAAATAAATGTTTGTTTTGGAGTGGTGTAACTTTCTGGAGTGCCTAGATGTAGGGAGAGGCCGCACACGGCCGTATGCTGCACTGCATCAGTTCAACAGACAAACCCCATGAAACCTCTTGCCAAAAAGTAAGTAATCTGCCTAATTAACCGTTAAAATTAATGGGTGGTACATACATCTGTTAAAAGATCTACAACTTCTTGCTGTGTCTTTTCAACCATAAGGTCAATTATCCGCAGTATCTCGTGCTTAGCTCGATTTAGTACGGACGTGCTCTGGGCCTCTGCATTTTGAGAGGGCTGGTGACGAACATGGCTGTATACCGCAATGGCTGCTGGAGAAGGTTGATTAAAGGAAATAGAAGAAGCCGCTGAAACACTGCGGGCCACCTACATATTAAACGAAGACACGTTTAAATCAAATTAAATGGCAAACATTGTCCACTGTTTACTTCAGTGCTGAAAATACTGCTTTCTTGCCGTCTGTGAACAAAAAATCTCTAAGAGGCCAGAGACACATTAGATAATTTAAAAGTATAAGTTCACTTGGCTTTTTATTTTGGAGAATTTTCAACTCTGAGTAGTTTAGTGATTACCTGTTATATCACAACTGACAATTTTGAACTAAGAGAAAATCTCGCACTGCAGTTAGGGTTCTTTTCCAGACGGCACCTGAGCTTTGTAACACGTTTAACTTGGAGATTGTCTGATAAGTTATCTTATGTTTTGGCGACAGCGAAATTAATTCAC